ATGGGTGGTAGACACTGGAACTGGGCCAGTCTCTTCAAGAAGTTTTTTTTTTTTTTCTTTTTGCTTCTGTAGGTTTCCAGTGTTAAGCTCAGTGTGAATACATCTCATTGTGCTCTTCCTTCCTTTGTGAGAAAAGCCAGTTAAGCACAGCTGCACCTCCAGAAGAGCCCACACAGACTAAGCAAGCCACTTCCCCCAAGTCTGCCTCCACCAAAAGTACACTTGGCTTCCTGCCTGCGTGCTGTGGTCAGGATTGCCAATTGCATCCTAAACTTAAGGATCATAGTTAACAAAAGCATATCACAACCATTAGTCATCCGTACATTTTTATCCAGAAATGGTTAGTCTTACTCATTTTCCCATTCTTCCCTTTGTTCTGCCATCTGGCTGCTGCTTTTAATTGTGAGAGTCTTTTTGTTCTGCCACCATTATTTGCTGTTGCCCTTCTGTCTATAAGAGCAATTCATTCTGAATTGTCATTAGAGAGTGACTTTCAGGAGGTTCTGGGTTCCAGTCAGCATAACACAATGCAGATTTGACAGGTGCCTAGGATTGTCACTTACTGAGGGGACTGGTTCAGGACAGGTCTGTATTCAGGATGATCCTTTCTATACCTGCTTCTCATGCTGGTTTGGGTCATCTTGGCATGAAGTAATGATATGCATCTTTAAGAGACTTCCTGCCTCTAGGTTTGGGGGCAGGGAAGCAGCATAGACTAGGCAGCCACATCTGGAGCCATGTCCGGCCTGCTAGCTCCTCCCTCCTGGCAATGTCTGCTCTGAGAGGGCAGGAGGAGACTGTCATCTGGTGGGAGAGGTCCTGCACCATTCCTGGGGAACTTCTAGGGGCACAGGAATCCCAGGACTTCCTGAGGGACTTGAATTGTTCATCCCTGCTCATTTCCTCAAGACTTGACTCATTCCAAGCCTTTGCAAGCAGTGAGTCAACCAGGGCTGGGGCCACCGGGTGCGTTTCCGTTTTGGCATAATGGCTCACTCCAGGGAAGAGACAGCACCCCGTTTAATCACACTGCCTAGCCCTGTGCAGTTACAGTGGACATCGAGGTGATATTTGCAAGACCTGTCCACTAGAATCCAGGATACATACTCGGGTACTCTGCCAAGGGTGAGAAGAGGGACTTACCTGCCAGAAAATGGGAAGAGTTGAGTTTTCATATCATACAGTTTGGTGATTTTGTTATTGGTTTTTGTTTTGTTTTGTTTTTTTGTTTTTTTTTTTTTGGCGGGGACAGGGACTCACTATCCCTGGCTGTCATGGAACTTCCTATGTAGACTAAGCTGGGCTAGAACTCACAGAAATCTGCTTGCCTCTACATCTACCTTGCAGGTGACCCCATGGCACATGTGCCCACACACATGGGCACACTCGCATGTACATACACACACACACACACACACACACACACACACACACAC